AAATTAGAGGCTTTGTGGGACAGAAAAATCTTAGGAGAACTTTTAGAAGAAGGAACTTTAGAGATCTTAAGAGAACTTTAAGAGAGTTTTTGAGAGAGAACTTTTGGGGAAGCCTCCATTTCTAAAGAATAAAGAGCCATGAGAGTAATGTATGTGTGAGCCGGTTTGTTTCCCTCTCATTCTCAGATTCCTTTTAGAAAAACCCTCCCCACCTGCTGTCTAGCCCCTAGCCTGGACCCTGAGAGAGCATCAAGGCTGGAACCTGAATGCTTTCGTTAGCATAAGACCCGGTATAGACCCATGTAAGACATGCATAAGATATGTTGAATGTAAATTTAAGAGAATAAATTCCTCATTAGAGTGTGTTTATGTAAAACCCAAACAATAAGCACCAAGTTAAGCTATTACAAGGCAGAACTCCAGGCTTCATTTTCCAAGACATATAAATTATTGATTGAAGTTCATAGCTATTTTGAGGTGCTATTATTTTATGTTAATACAGAACATGGTGTGAATAGTGGGACTTTGGAGGTTGAGGCAGGAGAATCATGATGAATTAAAGGTCTGTTTGGACTACAGAGTGAGGCCCTGCTTTATAAATAAATAAATAAATAAATAAATAAATAAATAAATAAGGAGGGGGAGAAATCAGAAGCAGTGACTCCTATATTGTTAAGTATAAAATGCCCAGATGCACACTTAGCCTCCCCATGTCATCTTGTCAGTCTGGGTGATATGGGTGGTATAATTTTTAAGCCTTCACCGATGCATTGCTATCACCCAAGGTCCACACTCTAAAGTAGGGTTCCATATTCCTATCCAGAATAGTATATTCTGTGAGTTTGGACAAACGTGTCCATCATTATAGTATTATGCAGCATACTTGGACTACCCTAAAAATCTTCCTAGGCCCATCATTTTATCCTTTTCCGATCTCAGTCCCAGTGATCACTGCTCTTCTTCATGTCTACCTGGTTTTGCCTATGTAGGATGTCCCATAATTAGTGTGGACACAGTGTGTGGTCTGTTCAGATTCTATTAGCTCTGCTGTAAAACTTCAAGTCCGAAATTAACATCTCATGGTAAAGAAATAGAAGAACCCAGATAGCCTGGTGGTGCAAGCTTGCCATCTTCCTGTGTCACTTTTGATGGCCACTGGTAGATTCTTCCATCATCACCAGGACTGTCTCCTTCATGCTCTGCTTGTGTGTGGAAAATTGTCAACATCTGAGTCTGTCTTTTAGGATTGTATTTCTTTATTTTCTTGAGAAAATGGTATTGAGCAGAAGGAAGGAAGCAAGCTGACTTGAAGAGTCATAAGCATTTATTTGCCAGAGTATTCAGGATGGCTTTCAGGAATCAAAACAATTCTAAGCAGGCAGACTTCCAGCTTGGATCGAAGTAGTTCTAATTAATGATCAGTTTTACTCCTTCAACTTTGTGGAAGACATCTCTGAAGGGAGGAGTTATTGCTTAACAAAATTTATGTAATTGTTATCACTTGTCAGATACTACAATGTCTAAAAAAAAAAATACCAAAAGTTTAGAGTGAAGCTTACATGTCCATCTGAAGACATAAGAATTATCTTGGTAGCTTGCCTCAGAATCTGAATAGTTAAGGTGCTTAGGCTATTCTGATGGTCAGGCTAGCGTCAAAGTTGACAGACAATGCCTGTGTATCTTGGACTGATGGTTTGAGTCGCCTGTGTATTATTTACTAAGCTTATTATAATGTAGATTTTTGGGACTTTCCAATTCAACTTCTCATGAAAAAATAAAAAACCCTTAGTATTCAAAATTTATATACTACATTTCGAGAGACATTCCCCTCTGTCCATTTCCTTAAGCAAACAATAAAGCGTGGGAATGTGCTCTGAAGCAAACTGGACATGGCGATTTTTTGCACTTGCATTACTTGGGAAGCTTTATAAGAAGGCAGATATGGCCATGACATAGGAATTTAGCTGTTGTTTTATACCCAGAACACTGTACAGATCTTCCTTGACTTCACTGTTTCCTAACAGATTTACATATTTGATGCCTATTGACAGAAATCGAGTTCTGTGAGTGGCTCTAATTCCTGACCATCTGATCTCAGTTTCTAGTATGGAAAGAAGCTAGTTTGCACAGAAACTCTCTTCCTCATGTCATCAGTCCAAAAATTCTGGAATTCTTTACAAAAGTCTCTACTAGAAAACATAACACAATAAAATGGACTAGTTGAGCACTGGCTAAGACAGAAGATTTCTAGTCACCGAACTATTTAGAATCTTGGTAACTAACTTAGTCAGTATATGGGCTCCAAATATTTTTATTTTAATTAATGTTACATGGGTAAAAATATAGCAAAATTACTCTGTACAAAAATGTCCAATGGCTTATGACCATTTGGGAGCTGGTGTCCTTATTCCTATGGTACCTAAGAGCAATGCCCAGATTTAGATTCCCTGTGTTACCAATGGCCTGACCGCTTGGTTATCTCTGATCACTGGTTCCTGCCAAGGAACATGGTTCCCCATCCACTTCACAAAGGGAAGGGGCATGGGGGACAGCAGTGAAGTAGAGTGTGCCTATTGTGGAGTTTGAATTCAGTCCAAGAGGAGCTAAAGCTGGGCTCTGGCCTACTTGTTGGGTGACTTTGAGGGTGTTAGCAAATCCCCTTGAATTACTTGGGGAGGAGTAATCGCCACTCTATAACGTTAAGACGACGTGATAAAAACGTCTAGCCCATATTTTACATTAAATCTGTCTCTTTGCAACCTCCTTTTTAGAAAACAAACCTTCTAGTTTGCTCTTGGGAAATGATGCCTCCTTCTCTTAGATCTGTCTGGCTCAGTTGTAGTTCACTCCCTTGTCCACTGCACTGAGAAGAGGGTGGGTGGTGTTGATTTCATGTTTCTAGGTTCCTGGATCTCTAACCCTGACCTGGGGCTCCCTCCTTTCTGAGTGTACACATGTGCGCATGAGCCAGCTACTTGGGAAGGAAGCCCATACTGTGCTGGAACAAGCTTGTGTTCCACCTGTTGCTCATATAATGTTTATGAACGACTTGCTGAGTGTCCTTCCACGTTGCCCCCGATCCTGGACATGTCAGACCCTCTCCTTCCAACTATCAGCACTGGATAGCTGCTGCTACTTCCTGTACTTATTCATTTTGTTCTAGGTTCTCCTTAATAGCTTCACTGTGTACGAGCACACCCAGCCACATCTCTTTCCAGAATGTCATTACTACAGGTGTATCTTTTAAAGCAGCCTATGATACAGAGACAATTACAGAAAGCCATTTCATCTGTGGAAGAGAAAAGTTGTCTTAATAGTCATCTCTGCGTTTCTTCTCTCCAAATTCTTAGTATTTTATTTTAATAGTCATCTCTGCATTTCTTCTCTCCAGATTCTTAGTACATTTTTGTAACCTTCCCTTTCCAACGATTATGGTTACTCCATTCACCACAAAGCAGCAGTTCTCTGAGTCTACGAGTGTCTCCACTGACTGAATTTCTTTCCTGTACCTATCAGCCATCCTCACAGGTCTCAGACTCCAAGCAATTACCCATAGTGAGTGCTGGATATATGGGTGGGGGAAACGTTGTAAGGGAAGAACTCTTGCCTCTCTTCTTGGAATCCATGAGCTTCATGAACAGGACTTGCTTAACAGCCATAATTGCTGATTTCATTACAGTTCCTGTTCCATTCTCTCACTCCGTCTGCCTTTCCCCTCTAATTCTGTATTCCCCAGTGTCTGAGCTGCAGGAAGCAGACCAAGGAGACCACAGATGGCTCACTGGGTCAGATAAGAGCCTTTGAATATTTGTTCTTCCCTTTCACAGGCTCCCACCAGCCGCTCCCTGCCGTTTAGCATTTGCAGCCCTCGTCTTTGCTTTGTGCAGATTTTTTTATCTGTTTCTTTTCTGTAAATTTATCTTTCATCTTACATACCAACTCCAGTTCTCTCTCCCTTTCCTCTCATCTTCCACCTCCCCTTTCCCACCCCCACCCACTCCTCAGAGGGGGTAAGGCCTCCCTTGGGGAGTCAACAAAGTCTGGCATACCAAGTTGAAGCAGGACCAAACCCCTGCCCTCTGTTTCAAGGTTGAGCAAGGTAATCCACCATAGGGAACGGGCTCCAAAAAGCTACTTCATGCACCCAGGGTACATCCTGGTCCCACTGCCAGGAGCCCCTCTGACACAGCCACAGGCAACACATTCTCTTGTTTGAGACTTGCCAATCCTCTGAAAAGAAGGAAGGAGAGCGGATGGAAGGAGCTGGCTGATTTGAAGGCTTCTGTCTTCTCTATGGGCAATCCTGTGGCCCTAGTCCCTTATGGAAGACTGTCCCTTGCCCCCTCCCCTGCTCCATTCTCTCTCACACAGGGACCACTGATTTATTGTCTCCATTAGTCCCTTTCATGCATCACATAATAGAGGGCTGTCACTTGTGTCTTGAGTGCTTTCTGTGTTGATTTCCCTCTCCATTTGCCTGTGGACCAGAGCACTGAGTGAATACTCAATTTGATGAACATGGATGATTTTAGACCCTGCTAACCCAGATAAAGTAAAAGAGAGGAGCCCCTGGGGTCTGGAGCAGAATGACTATAAGCAACCAATTTATCTGCAGTTTTCCTTTCCCTGTCCACTCATGAAGAAAGTGCTCTTCTGGCGGCCGTCACAAAGGACCTCCTGATCAGATCACATAGCTTGCTGAAGGCATGAGGCCAGGCCCAAGGCCAGGAGTGGATCTGTATGTGAGCTACAAATGTTTGGAGTGTTTATTATACATACACTTGAATGAATTAGAAAGGGTCTTCTTGTGTAAATACTATAATTGACAGGGCTGGGGTGGGTTTTATGTCAGAGTCACTCCGGGAAGTGTTATTTAGTACTTCTCCTTTGATTGCAGTCATCCATCCCTCTTTCTAGAGCTCCTCTCCGGTGTAGAAGCACCTCCTCCCACAATTCCTGATCCTGACACTCTTGGCTCTAATCTCTTCATTGGATTCCAGGGAAAGACATGGCAGCTGTGCAGAGGACTCTGATGGCTCTGGGCAGCGTTGCAGTTACCAAGGATGATGGCTGCTACCGGGGAGAGCCATCCTGGTTTCACAGGTAAGTCCTTCCCTGCCTCCCACAGAGAGACACCTAGAGCTACCCAGCACCGTTTGTCTACAAAGAAGCAAGCACTGGTCCCATAACAGGGCCCACTGAGCACGGAAGACTGATGCTGCTAGCCAGGCTGAGGTTCTTAGGGTTTCCTGTTAGCTCCTAGCATCCCCTCCCCCTTGTTCTTTCTCTTCTTTCATTTTTAAATTCTCTTTTATGCACCTAATGAAGATTAAATATGTCTCTTTGCAAAGTACTGTCTCAGTTTGTTGACTAATAGCTCCCCCCTCTTTGACTCTCAAAAGTGTCCTGGTCTGGGTGATAAATGATATGATTATTTCAGTCTACTGAAAGGGCCTTTGAGGATTTTTTCCTTTTTGGCAGTGAGAGTAGAGACAGAGATGTGCAAACCAAGGAGCTTGGTGGCAGATGAAAGGAATGCTTGTAGCAGCTACCTGATAATTCACTTGATTTGTTTTCCTAATCCTTTTTTTTTTCTCATCCAGGAAAAGTATAGAAGGAAGTAGCTTATGTCCTTTAGATGACCTTGACCTAAAATCCTCCTAAAACATACTGAAATCCTGGTCTCAGTCTCAGAATTATTAATGATTCACCACTGCCTGTATGGCTGCAAATCTAAATTTATTTACAATCCAGCTCTTTACCAAAATCTGGCAACCTCTGGTCAGGAAATACAAATTGTTCTTTGAAAACTCCTAGACTGATTGGGCAGCAAAACAGAGATGAATCTTTGGTCCTATGTGGGAAAGGTGGAATGGGACTAACGGCATGTTTTGGAAAAGTACTTAGTTTTGTGAGCTGAAGACCAAGAGGATCTAAAGGGGACGATGAAGGGAAAGAGAGAGGCTGAGACTAAGTTTTCCAGAAGGGCAGCTGTGGTTTCTGGTTTCTTTTTCTTACTAGAATTCTAAGAATCATCTTGGTTCCTAAGGGATAGGAAATTTGTATGTAATTGTCAGTCACAGCTCATGGTAGGCCATAGCTCATGGTGAGTCATAGCTCATGGTAGAGTTGTAGGCCAGGGAAGAGTCTGCTGGTGTGTGTGATTGCCTCAGGTCGAAGCTGTGTAACTCTATCTTGAGAAGGATTTGAAACTGTCATATGACGTCATTTTATCTCACTTGTTCCAACCAGGAAAGCCCAACAGAACCGGAGAGGATTTTCAGAGGAGCAACTTCGCCAGGGGCAGAACGTCATAGGCCTGCAGATGGGCAGCAACAAGGGTGCCTCCCAGGCGGGCATGACAGGGTATGGGATGCCCAGGCAGATCATGTAAGATGCCATATCTTGCTCCCCGCCCCCATAGAGAGGACAAATGTTCCACACCACAGTCTGTGACAAAGAAATAGGTAGTCACCTTCTCACCTTCTCCTCTTTCTCAAAGCCTTTCTGTCCCCTGTTTTTGCAAGTGCTGCATTTCTGCCGAGAATCCACGCTGCCTATTGCTGCCACCTTTTGTTCATTTAGAACTATGCAAAGACTCCGCTTTCTCTTTCTGACCTCCTGTGCCCTAAGATCTCTGTCTGATTATTTATTTATTTATTTATTTGCCAAAAATTTCTCTCCTTGACTTACAGAACGTACCTAATAAACAAATTAGTCTGTGTTCCAGAGCGTGATTTCATTCAATGGCAGGGACTTTGCCGACTGGAATGTCTCCTTCCTGTTTCATTATTTATTTTGGTAATGTCAATGGAAACATCAGAAATAGTTTTTCCCACTAGAGATCTTAAAGTTAGACATTCACAAGCACTGTCTTTGATCTACCCGTTTCTTTATGTACCTATTTTGAGCTTATAATGTTAGACTTTGTAAACAAGACAAAGCATCAGGAGCTCATGTATGGGTACCCGGGAAATCATGGATGCATGGATGGATGCATGGATACAATGATGCATAGATGGATGGATAGTTTACTCAAAAAATAGTTTTTTGTTTGTTTATTTGTTTTTTGCATCTATTGCATGACTTCTCTTCGTACAGATGCATCTCCAATCTAAGATGACATTTATACAGCTCACCCCAAAACACACACAGTGGCCAGGAATGATATAATATGTAGTATTGCTCTCTGCACATCATTTATAGGACTAAAACCCAAAAACTCTTGAAGATTACTCAAGATTGAGATCTGTCTAACATGAATGAATTTTCAAGATTTTTTTTATGGAATAAAAAATTAACAGGAAAAGTAAGTTTGGAGACTATCAATCTATCCTGTTCTTTAAAATATTGGTAGTGGTGCACAACTTTAATCCCAGCACTCAGGAGGCAGAGGCAGAGACAGGTGGATCTCTGAGTTTGAGTCCCGCCTGGTCTACAGAGTGAATTCTAGGACAGCCAAGGCTACACAAAGAAACTTTGTCTTGAAACGCCCCCCCCCAATGTAGTTTGTAAGAGAAATGAAGTATCTTTATTCATACTTTGAACCATCAACAAATGAGAAAATGTAAAACATAAATGAGACTACATATGACCACTCTAAATATTCGGATGATAGGTTTTCAGACTGAGATCTTCGGAGTTCTAAGCTCTCCCAGAGGTTTCTTTTTCTATGTGATCATTCCCAACTACCCAGGAAGCCCCCGAGATCCTTTCATAGCCACTGTTGAATTGTACATGGTATCATCTGTGGAGAGAAAATTCTCTGCTCTCCCTAATTTATATTCACAATTAAGGTAATATATGACCTCAGGGAACACCTCACTGAGCAAGTAGCGAGTAGTAAGTATTTCTTCATTCAGAGAAGGAATCATTCAGAATAAGCCAAGTAAATACACCAACAGTGACAAGGGTTTCGAAACATTGGGAACATAGAGTGGCAATCCATTATGAAGAAAAAAAAAACTTCATTATAGAATAATAACAAAAATAAGCGACTAAAATGAGGCTTGCAAGGCTGGAAGCCAAGAACAAATTAGTAAATTACAATATCAAGCATATACCTCATGAAAATTTACAAATACTTGGTAAGTACAAAATAAAAATTAAAAATAACATACAATAGCTATGGATTTAGAATTTCAGAAAAGAGAAAAGTCAATTGGGGATGGAAATGTGATTAATTAATTAATTAGTTAGTTAATTTTTGTACAGGTCTTTTGCCTACATGAATGTCTGTATATCATGGGGATGCTGGAGGGAAATTTTTTGAAGAAATAATATTAAGGTTTTACCAGAGTTTTTTTTTCTAGATTTAAAAGATTTATAAATGCTTGGGGGAAAGTAAAACATGATAAGAACTCTTAATGAATAGCATTGTAGTAAAATGTTTGACCACTGAAAGAAAGTAGAAAACTTTTAAAGTGTGTGTGTGTGTGTGTGTGTGTGTGTGTGTGTGTGTGTGTGTGTGTGTTTATGGGTACACACTCACAAGAGTGCAGAGCACAAAGGATTGGCTGAGGGTTTCTCACCAGCCTTGAACTCACCAAGTAGGCTGGGGTGCTTGGCCAGCATCAGGGATCTCTGTTTCTCTGCCTCCCCAGAGAATCAGTGTGTGTTTTATGTCTATTTTCTTTGGAAATTTTGGAGGCTGATTTTCCTATTAAATGTGCCAAGGTCAACTTCTGACATGCTGTAGATTCTGGGTCCTCTGTCACAAAGTCTTCACATTGTGCAAACAATGAGTGAAGCAATGGCCACTGCCATTCCTCACCTAAGACTCTTTGTTCCCAATCATTAAGGGACTCTTGAAATTGCAGATTCCTGTACTTGAAAGACTATTATTTATTCATTTCAGTCTGAAAGAACAGCTGTTTGACTGGATTTCAAAGTATATTCCAATCCTTTGATTGATTGATTGATTGATTGATTGATTGATTGATTTTGCTTTTTTGAGACAAGTTCTTATGTAGCCTAGGCCAAACTTGAACTCTTGATCTTCTTGCCTCCATACCATACCATAGAGATTACAGGCCTATGGAATTGTGGTGGTTTAAATAAGAATAGTCCCCATGGGCTCACAGATTTGAATACTTGGTCACCAATGAGTGTCAGCATTTGGAAGGATTAGGAGGTGTGGCCTTGTTGGTGGAGGAAGTGTATCACTGGGGATGGGCTTTGAGGTTTTAAAAGCCTATGCCAAGTCCAGAGTCTCCTGTCCAGAGGATGAGGGTATAGCTCTCAGCTACTTCTCTGGCACCATTTTTGCCTGTGTGCTACCATGCTTCCCACCATGATGATAATGGATTAAACCCCTGAAGCTATAAGCCAGCCCCATCTAAATGTTTCCTTCTATAGGAGTTGCATTGGTCACAGTGTCTCTTCACAGCAATAGAACACTGACTATGACAGGCATTATGTCTGGTAAGCCCTTTGTTTTTACAGTGCTGAGGCCTCTAGCATGCTAAGCAAGTGCTCTGTTGTAAACTCTGTCCCAAGCCCTCTTATTACTTTTTATTTTGAGACAGGGTCACACTCAGTTACCCAGAATATCCTTGATGTTTCTCCAAAGCCCAGTCAGCCCTTGAACTTGGGGGCCTCTTCCTTTAGGCTTCTGGATAGCTGTAATGCAGGCCTGGATTCAAGGCCATGCTTTAAAAGAGCAATCTTCCTCCCCTCTTAAATTGTAGTCTTATTTAGCATGCTGGGCATCCTTTCCCATTGTAAGTGGTAGTGATTATAGGAGAGTAAATTCTGAAGGGTCATTATGAAAACCTCAAGTGTCCTCAGTAATACCTCTCCTGTGGCCACTAAAACCACAAGTTAGAGGAGTGGTGAGTGCTCAGATCTTCCCTGTGCAGTGCCAACAGGCTGCACTGTAGAAATAGGAATTTTCACACCAACCAGGACTGTGCTAGCACGGGCAACAAACAAAAGAAAAATAATCGGATATATTTAACACGAATCTTTTCTTGGCATATGACCAGCCCAAAATGACCTATAAGATAGCCTGCTGTAGATGAGAATATGAGACAATTCCGGTTGGAAAGCACAGGTGATTCTGGAAGCCACTTTGTACCCATTGCCTTAGAACTTTGTAAAATAGTCTAGTAATTTATGGTGGATGGAAGACTAATTCTACTTCCAGGATAACCTTGTGCACACAATTTACTTACGCTAACTTGCGTGTGCTTAGATTATCGTTTCCATAAACCCACTTGAATATTTTAAGTGAGAGAGCCTATATGAAATATGGTTAGCTGGTTTATAACTCTGCAAAGTCAAAGCTCTGTCTCAGAGCCGATAATGTTTTCTTAAAATAAATCCCAAAACTTTAATAGCCTTCAGCTAGCATACATAGCATCTCTTGACTCTCTCTTTCCTCATGATCTCTTGGTAACGTATGTCCTTCAGCTACAACCTGCCCAGCATTAAAGCTTCTTAAGAACGAGGAGCACAGACATGTTATTAGCGTGCATGTGACTTGTGCCATGTCCCAGCAAGATCAGATGAGAAAGTTGATCCTTTCATCTTGAAGAGTACTTCTACATGGAAACTACTGAACAATTTGTCACTGAAAACCCACTGGATGTGTTGGGCATGGTGATACACATCTGCAGTCCCATGGCCCCACATAAGGAGGATGCCATGTGCCTGAAGCCAGCCTGGGCTAATAGTAAGACCCTGCCTCAAAAAGTAAATTCAGATAAAACAATATACAATCAGAAAAGAAAATCCATTGAGTGGATATGTCATCTCTTATTTAACCCACACATTGTTGGATTTCACTCCTGAAAATCAAACCAGAAGAAATATCCTTTGTAAGAGACCTATGTTTACCCATTTTTGACTAATATTACCATGTTACAATCCACACTTCCAGTTTACAATGTTTCCCACAAAGTTTAACTCTATCAATTTCTCTAATTCTCATCAGAATGAATTATCATTCTTTAAAAGTTTGTGAATATTTCAAAATGCATCAAGTTAGGGCATTAGTAGAACCCAAGGTCCACAGGCAACTGCAAAGGAATTTACAATGGCTCACTGCCTTGCTGTAAATCCCAATGTTTTTTATGTCTGCCTGGTAGTCCATTAAATCCATGAGCAATTCGTGATTCTAAGGAGCCCCTGAAGAAGACAGGGTTGGTGAAAACAAAAAAGCTGGCTGGTGAGAATGACCACAAAGCATGGCTCCAAAAGAGAAATGACAGTTTGCAGAATTCCACTTGAATGCTTCAGGCAAAAAAGCCTGAATGAAATGTGGTTAATTGATTTATCTCTTAGCACAATCCAAAGCTCTGATGTGGCCACCAGCCCGTAATATATTCTCAAGATAAATATGACAACTTTTATAGCCTTGAGCTATGAAGGTAAAGCCCAGTTTGAAGGGCA